AGAGCAATCCATAGAGGTTGACCCCTTATAAACTGTTTGCTGACATAGGTAACACTTGCATGTGCGTGTGCGTTACAGCGTTGGTTAGGGAAAGGATACCTAGACAGTTGTACAACCGAAGCGGTCAACAGAAAGGTGTCTTCCACATTTAACCCAACACCTCTGAATCAGAGAGGTGAGGGGGGGGGGGGCTGCCTTAATCAACGTCCACGTCATTGGCGCCCGGGGGAACAGTTGCTGTTGGGGGTTAACTGCCTTGCTCAAGGGCAGAACGGCAGATTTTTCCACCTTGCCAGCTCTGGGATTCGAACCAGTGACCTTTCGGTTACTGGCCCAACACTCTTAACCGCTAGGCTAGTGACAGGGAGAGAGCAGAGTCATAGATTATGATTCACATTATTCATGACTCCACCTGAATGGCCTCCAGTGCTGTTTGCATCCCAAATGTTACTATATTCCCACAGGGCTCTGGTCAAATATAGGGTGCCATTTGGGAGGCAGCCTGTATATTTCTATTTCTGAGTGTGTGAGTTGGGATGTGTGTGTAGGCTGTAGCTTGTGTGTGTCTTCGAGGGTGAGAGCACAAATGGAGCATGTTTGCATGTGTACCAATCTCTCTCTCTCTCTCTCTGTCTCTGTCTCCTCATCCCCCTTCCCACCTCTCTCTCTCTCTCTCTCTCTCTCTCGCAAAGTTGTAATCTGCGGACAAGGAGGTGGCTGTGGAGACACCCGGAGGGAGGGAAAACAGAGAGAGAGAGAGAGAGAGAGCGCGAGAGAGGGATGGGGCTTGTATTGCCAGATAATAATGGACAGCACAGCAGAAGTGTGAGAGAGAGATAGAGAGAGAGCGAGAGAGGAGAGAAAGTGTGTGTGTGTGTTTGTGTGTGTATATCAATGCGTGTGTGTGTGTGTGTGTGTGTGTGTGTGTGTGTGTGTGATCCCTCCAGGTCAGTGAGGGTGTTGTCCAGATAACAGACAGACGGCAGCACAGACACCATGGACAGTGTACACACACACACACACACACACACAAACACACACACACACACTCACACACACACACACACACACACACACAGTGGTGCATTGTTAGTGTCTGATGAGAACAATAGTATCTCTATCAGACAGATTATTAGTTATTTTGGCTAGTTGGCTTGGGCTGATAGACGGTCAATAATAACACACACACACACACACCAAAACGCACATACACACACACTAAAATGTACGCTCATACAGACAGTCAAACATACACACCTTGCAGCCCCGTTCCACGCAATTGTAATTATATCAAATCAATAATCGCCTTAGAAAAAGAGAGAAGAAGATGAAGACAGGAAAAGTGGGATAGCGGAAAGGATTCTAAAGGCATTCTAACACCAAGAGAAGAGACTGTACAGATGTAGGATCTTCATTCGATCACTTTCTTGTTGCAGATCAAAATGCGAACTTGTAGTGTAATCGAGGTCTAAAAACGCTTCTAAAGTATAAAATGTCACACTTGATTTGCCATAGCGAAAAAAAAGTCAATTCATCATAATCCACATAATAATTTCTGCAGGATAATTTTCCTGCCGTAGCAAACTGGATCAAATTAAGATCCTACATCAGTATATTGACAAGCAAAGAGAGAAAGAGAGATAGAGAGATCATCTTTTTTTCCAGGTCAGCCCTACCGCCCGGGGCTAAACTTGCTGTTCTGTTTTTTCTTTTCCTTTTTTCTCTCTGTCCCTCTCTCGCCCGGGGGCAAAGTCGAGCTGCAACAGGATTCACTCCTGTTCCCACGGAGACCAGAGAGACATTGCTGCCATGACAACAAGGCTTCATCGCTCACTGGAGCGGAGAACTAGACCCAGCACTCTTCTCCTGTCATACTCTCTCTCTCTCACACTGTTTGGCATCTCTCTCTCTCTCTCTCTCTCTCTCTCTCTCTCTCTCTCTCTCTCTCTCTCTTTCTCTTTTCTCTCTCTCACTCCTTATCTATCTCAGTTTTTCTATGTCTCTCTCTCAATCTATACTGAACAAAAATATAAACGCTACATTTAACAATTTCAACGATTTTACTGAGTTACAGTTTATATTAAATAAATTCATTTGGCCCTAATCTATGGATTTCACATGACTGGTCAGGGCCGCAGCCGTGGGTGGGCTTGGGAGGGCATAGGCCCACCCACTGGAGAGCCAGGCCCAGCCAATGAGAATGAGTTTTTCCCACAAAAGTGCTTTATTACAGACAGAAATACTCCTCAGTTTCATCAGTTGTCCGGCTGGCTGGTCTCAGACGATTCCACAGGTGAAGAAGACGGATGTGGAGGTCCTGGGCTGGTGTGGTTACACATGGTTTGTGATTGTGAGACTGGTTGGAAGTACTGTCAAATTCTCTAAAACAACGTTGGAGGCGGCTTATGGTAGAGAAATTAACATTCAATTCTCTAGAAACAGCTCTGGTGGACATTCCTGCAGTCAGCTTATCAAAGTCTTCTCATGCTTTGTTGATTTCAAAAAAGCTTTTGACTCAATTTGGCATGAGGGTCTGCTATACAAATTGATGGAAAGTGGTGTTGGGGGAAAAACATATGACATTATGAAATCCATGTACAGAAACAACAAGTGTGTGGTTAAAATTGGCAAAAAAACACACACATTTCTTTCCACAGGGCCGTGGGGTGAGACAGGGATGCAATTTAAGCCCCACCCTCTTCAACATATATATCAACGAATTGGCGAGGGCCCTAGAACAGTCTGCAGCACCCGGCCTCACCCTACTAGAATCTGAAGTCAAATGTATATTGTTTGCTGATGATCTGGTGCTTCTGTCACCAACCAAGGAGGGCCTACAGCAGCACCTAGATATTCTTCACAGATTCTGTCAGACCTTGGCCCTGACAGTAAATCTCAGTAAGACAAAAATAAGGGTGTTCCAAAGAAGGTCCAGTTGCCAGGACCACAAATACAAATTCCAGCTAGACACCATTGCCCTAGAGCACACAAAAAACTATACATACCTCAGTCTAAACATCAGCGCCACAGGTAACTTCCACAAAGCTGTGAACGATCTGAGAGACAAGACAAGAAGGGCCTTCTATGCCATCAAAATGAACATAAAATTTGACATACCAATTAGGATCTGGCTAAAAATACTTGAATCAGTTATAGAACCCATTGCCCTTTATGGTTGTGAGGTCTGCGGTCTGCTCACCAACCAAGAATTCACAAAATGGGACAAACACCAAATTGAGACTGCATGCAGAATTCTGCAAAAATATCCACAGTGTACAACGTTAAACACCAAATAATGCATACAGAATAAATAAATAAAAAATCCAGAAAAGAGCCTTTAAATTCTATAACCACTTAAAAGGAAGCGATTCCCAAACCTTCCATAACAAAGCCATCACCTACAGAGAGATAAACTTGGAGAAGAGTCCCCTAAGTAAGATGGTCCTGGGGCTCTGTTCACAAACACAAACAGACCCCACAGAGCCCCAGGACAACAACAACAACAACAACACAATTAGACCCAACTAAATCATGAGAAAACAAAAAGAGAATTACTTGACACATTGGAAAGAGTTAACAAAAAAACAGAGCAAACTAGAATGCTATTTGGCCCTAAACAGAGAGTACACAGTGGCAGAATACCTGACCACTGTGACTGACCAAAACTTAAGGAAAGCTTTGACTATGTACAGACTCAGTGGGCATAGCCTTGCTATTGAGAAAGGCCGCCGTAGGCAGACCTGGCTCTCAAGAGAAGACAGGCTATGTGCACACTTCCCACAAAATGTGATGGAAACTGAGCTGCACTTCCTAACCTCTTGCCAAATGTATGACCATATTAGAGACACATATTTCCCTCAGATAACAGAGATCCACAAAGAATTTGAAAACAAACCCAATTGTGATAAACTCCCTTATCTACTGGGGGAAAAACCACAGTGTGCCATCACAGCAACAAGATTTGTGACCTGTTGCCACAAGAAAAGGGCAACCAGTGAAGAACAAACACCTTTGTAAATACAACCTATATTTATGTTTATTTATTTTCCCATTTTATTTCCCACTATTTGCACATTGTTACAACACTGTATATATACATAATATGACATTTGAAATGTCTTTATTCTTTTGGAACTTCTGAGTGTAATGTTTACTGTTAATATTTATGTTTATTTCACTTTTGTTTACTATCTACTCCTTGCTTTGGCAATGTTAACATAACGTTTCCCCATGGCCAATAAGCCCTTGATGAGGAGAGAGAGAGAGAGAGAGAGAGAGAGAGAGAGAAGAGAGTGAGAGAGAGAGAGAGCGAGAGAGAGAGAGAGAGAGAGAGAGAGAGCAGAGCATCGATCTCTCTCTTCTCTTCTTCTCTATCTCTCTCTCTCTCTCGCTCTCGCTCCTCTTCTCTCTCCTCTCGCTGCTTCTCTCTCTCTTCGTCCTATGTATCAGAGCAGAGAGCGCGAGCGAACTCTCTCTCTTCTTTCTCCTCCATTCATTCAATTCAATAACTTTATTAGATGGCAAGTTAAAGTATTTACATTGTAAAAGTATACATATACAAAAATGGTGGGACCAACAGCAATAATAATAGTAGTAGTGGAACTGGGATTACCATTACACAACTACAACAACAATTTATGAGAATAACAATACATTAAAGCAATAGTAGTCCGACCATTTCAACATGACTGAGAAGACACATTACATGGTATGAAAGCCAAAACAAAACAGGAAACATTATTGACATTACATTACACTTTTCACTGGCTGTCCCTCAGGTTGTGACAGGAGGACACTATTGGCTTTTTCACCCAATAATATTTGATTTTTTTTCTTCCTCTTTATAGTTCAATTCTTTACTGATGATCATTTTGGAAAGAAAGATCTTTAG